GGAATTAGATTGCTTTAACCAGTTTGTTCTTGACAAATCCTTATTGCCTGTTACTCTTTTCATTCCTATTTTCTAAATATTCAGCATAGTTTATCTGCTCAATTCGTTTTCACAAATTGAAAATAATTCCTCACATTGTCCTTCCTCTCTCTTTCTAAAGATAAGCTCTACACTGTCCTCTTCTAGACTGCTGGTACCTCACCCATCCTCCAAGAACTCTCACCAAAAACCACTAATGGTTGTAAGACTATTTCAGACATTTTTATAACAAAATGGAGATCATTAAACCAGTTTTAAGATATCTAAATTACATAAGCTGTTCTTTCCTTATCTATAATTGAGATTTTTAGCTAACTATTAGTTGTGCTTGCTACATACTTACAGATGACCTTTTCAGTAAATGTGTATGAAAAAAAGTTAAATGCACATTTTTGCCTCCTCTGTAGCTATTATGAGCAGCTTTCCCTTTCCTATGGTACCTCTCTAAGGTATCAAAGATTTCTTTGTTCTTTTCCTCCCTATTAATGTACTAATATAATTATTTTAAAATAGCATATATAGTACAGTGTATTTTATTTTATACTGTATTTGTACTGATATAATTATTTTATTTTATTTTATAGTCAGTTCCTTCTACTTTTCTTACTAGTTTCATCTCATTAAATGCTTTGGCACTTCTGACTTGTCTTTACATGCTTATGTTATTCTAAAATTGTTATTCCGATTAAATTGAGAAATTTTCCCCCATATGTCTAAGGTGAAAGCAAAGATCACAAGGTAGTCAGGTTGGTTGATCTTTCACACTTTCTTTCATTCACATTGGGAAGGGTCATACTTATGTCTTTAGTAGTGTTTTGTTGAATCCAGATTTCTCTTTAACTAGCATCCTAGAGATCTTCACAAATTCTGTGGATTTATTAACATCTCCCTTCTTGAGGCTTGTTGTTTGAACTCTGTTGCATTTTCTAATTCCTCTTTTAAGGATCATGTGCAGAACCACTTCATAGCAACTCAAACTGCTACACAATCACATTCTTAGTCAGTTCCTTCTACCTGTTAAAATCAAATCAAAAAGTTCCTTTCCTCTACTTTATCTCCTGCGTTAAAAACTGTAACCAACAAGTCGTAAGTACTTCCTGAGCAGCCTGTCAATGCTATTTTTTTCCAACAAGGAGCTCAGTAACTGAAATTTCTCATAACTATAAAGTCCCACGGCCTTAGATACGCACCAAGAACATCCACGTTCTTTTCCATTTTCTTGGATACCTACAGACATTCAACACCTCTAACTAATCTGTTCAAGATCTCAAAGCAAACATTATGTTTCTGAAATATAGGGCAGCATTTCCTCTCTTCTTCTCTTTCTTCTTTTTTGGGACGCAGTTCTACCCTTTACATGACTGGGCTATTAATGTAAGATATATCATAAAATCTCTACAGTGCTAACTTCGTCATAATCTTCAATTAATTCTTGTCTGTTCCTCATTAATTCTTCCATGCTACTCATTCTTCTTCTATTAGTATACAAACAGATAAGATACTTGGCAAACTGACCCATGACTCTTCTGCTAGTCACTCCTTTAACCCTATTTTAAGTAATCCTGTCTCTCTTAGTGAGTAGAACTATGTCCGAGTTCCTCTATTTAAGCTCTATTTAAGATTTTTGTCCTTGACAAATGGTTCTTAATTTGAAGTTCTGTTCTCTCAGTATAGAAGTCAACGTATGAAGACACTATTTCACTTTTTTTACGTTGCAGATTTTATCTTTTCCTATCAGCGCACATATCATTTATCCTACGGTTGTAAAAGTCAGAGCCCTTACTGTGACAACACCTTTGTAGCTATGTAGCTATATTTAGCGTATATTTATCTCCGACTGATGCTTGACTCAAAAGTGAGAGGACAGGCAGTAATAACTCCTGAATCTTCAACCTTTTCAACCCTGGTCCCAGAGCCTTATAAACGCTTTTGATCTGCTTAGGATCATTCTTTGCAATATCATTAGTATCCAAATAAATGTTTATCATATGCTAGTGATCAGTGGGAGCCTATGCAACTGCTCAAATTTGGGCCGTTTGAGTTGAAGAAACATAGCAGCCAGAGTGTCAGTTCCAAGTGGTTCAGATGTCTCCACATCATGTTGAGTAGGAGGTCACTAGCCAACATTATCTTTTATTTCCTCCTGGTAATGGAGGTTTTGTACTCTTTGGAGTACCAAAAGGCTTTATCACTTGCTCCCTGGTCAGCATTTCTGCTTCTGACTTTATATGCAAGTGACTCAGATGTAGAATACTACACGGCCTCAGAAGAGATCTGCAGCCAGCTTTCTCCCTGTAGAGTGTCAAGGTTACTTCTCCAGTACTTGTACTACCACCAACTGAAAGCTTTGCTTTATTTTTTTGTCTCCAAATGCATTCTGTGGATGAAGTCCTCACACCCATACTTGTCCAGTTTTGATTCTCTTTTCCTATCTCACTCTAATTTCTTCCTAAGAGATTCTGGAGACCAAAAAAAAAGTTTTTCTAGATTTCACTGGCAAGAATATATAGGCTAAAGTTCCTGTAAAACCAGTCAAGGATTTCCTCACAAGAAGTCATCATGGCATAATTTTATATATAGATATTGAATTATCAGCGCATGACATATCTCTTCTCAAAAATTTTTCACTGACAAACTACGTAATACAAAAAGTTCCTCATGTCTGCTAGATTAGGTATATGTATCTGTGAATTTCATTTATTTTTGTTTTTATACAGTTAACAGTTCATAAAAAACACTGGAGTATAACAAGTAGGGCAGGGGCTTTGTGAAGCACCTCTGAGGAACACTGAGGCACCTGAAATGCTCCTTACCAATGAGCTGTAAGTCCTAGGAGCACAAAACACAGTTGATTTTGTTCAGAATACTTCAAAGCAACACCTTTATCAGGGCCAAAGACCTAGCCAAAAAGCCTCGAGGCTATATCATCAGTAAGAAAAAACCTGGGTATTGTCTTGTGCTAGTTAATAAATGGTAATTAACAGAAGCTAAAACCTTACTGAAGTGAATTCTGTTGCTAAATAAATAACTATCACCATATTAAGGCTCCACTTAATTGATCTGCCAGTTGTGAGAAATACAGATTCCTTATTCTGCTAGATAACCCATTTATTTTGTAAATACAAATATGAGCACACTTCCAGCATCATATCACAATGATATGTGATACATTATGATAAAATGTATTTGGTATTATAACAGTTCCTCTTCCTTTGCGTCTGAACTGTTACAGCTCTATAAGAAATAGAAATGCCTTTATCACAGTCTGTATGTACAGCAAAATTGATTAAAATTTAAAAAATGTAGTTTTACTTTGATTGCTTGCACATAGCTTGATTTTTTTATATTAAGGCCAAAATTATACTATGGTTCTAAACGAGCTGAAGACCTTTAAGGAGCTGATAGAAAGGAAAAATTGCTGGTTTGCAGACAGCTCCACCCTGAACTGGAAAAAAGTTGGGACTCAAAGACCCCTCTAGGAAAAGGAGAGTGAAGAAAAGAGTAGATCTGCCTAGAGATCTGCCAAATGCCACATACGAACACCAAGAAGAATAATGTGTAACAGTACAAGTCACAAAAGGGCTAAAGACAAGAGTTGCTGGGAGATTTTTTCTGATCTTAAAAGTAGAATAAAAAAGTGAAAAAAAGAAAACCAGTCATAAGAAGCAAGAGAATAGTACTTACATATTACGAATTTATGTAAATCTGCATACTCTTAGTGTTACTCTTGTCTGCTTTTCATAGCTCTACTTTGTTGTGTAACTCCTTAATCGAGGCCTGATTTTGAGTGTTATGTCTGTGTACTATCATGCTAAAAGAAAAACAATCAGCAAACCCTGAAATCCTTATATCATCTTCAGAAATTACTAATCACCTCCTAACCTAGAGTTCTGCTGTGAATAATTATAAACTTTCTGCAAGTTTCAGAAAGAAAAAATTAGTCTGGCAGGACAAAATGCCTACTGTTTTTCAATATATTGTTCCTTATTCTTTCTCAAAACAAATCTGAATGTGCTTGTTTTATCTGCATTCATATTTGCACTCAAATCAGTTATTTCCTCATTCTCCTAGATTCTGTTCTCGCTGCCTGGCTACACTTAAAATAGCTGTGTAAGGTCTCTTTAATTGCTAAGGTACAGTTTCCTGCAGTGCAGATATCATGCTCCATGAAATGACTGGTTGTTAAAATTCTTTTTTTTTTTAAATCTTAAGCAATAAGCTACACAGTCCCCTAACAGATACATAAAACCGTGTAATTGCATGGAATTGCTAGCAGGGATGTGCCAGTATAGGTGGGGCAATATATCCTTGCCTCAAGACCAAATTATTTGGTCATGCCAGTCACTTTTCTTTCCATGAGATAAGCAGACGATGTAGTAAAATACTTTCCAAATTCAGCACTGTTGCACAGATTTATGCTGACATACCAACAAGCTAGCCGTGACTCAGAGCCCTTGGAATTCACTATAGTAGGGAAGGTTTGCAAATCTTCCCATCATTGCTAACACCAGTCACAGGGTGTCAGCAACATTTTCAGCATTATGCCAAATATTTGCTTGAAGCAGCATTGGATAATATAACGCTTAAAACAGCGTCAGCAGCTATTGGATTATATATACCTAGGGACCCATGATTTCAAACAAAAACTCAGCTGAAAAAGATTGGAAAATATACCCCTAGTATTGAAAGGCTTCATTATAAAAATATTAACGGAGTACTCTTTTTGGTAAGATTTCAAAACCACATTAATGATCCCAATATGCTATTTATAGTAACAGCTCCAGGAGACTGAGCCTAATGCATCTCTAAAAGTAAACAACATCGATTCATTTCATGGTTATTAATATTATTAAATACCTACAAATAATTTCAACTCAGTGGTTTACTTAGCAATATCTTATCTGCAGTTTCCCTATAGACAGTTAAGTTATAGTTAAACAATCGTTAGCTTTTTTCCTTACTTGTAGAGTGATCATTCATCTCCTCTAGTCCAGTATTAATTCCAGCATCTATTGAACTCATAATTTTATCAATCTACAAAAAAGAGAACAGTGAAAACAATTGATGGAACCCATCTTTCTTATTTTACTTTGTTTTTTCATGCATAAAATTACAGCATAGTTACTGTCATTAGGAAAGCAACATTATAATCAAGTTTGCAAAAGAGAAAAATCAAAGGATCACAACTAATTTCTCCACTTTGCTTTTTATTCTGCAACTTTTTTTGTACTGTACCAAAAGCTAAAGCTCAAAACTAATATTCCTTTCCCTACAGTATATTTCCTTTCATACTGACAACACTGATCATCTAATTATATCTCAGTATTTGAAACTACTTTGTCTTGTTTCAATATACGGATATAAAGGAGAAAAATGTGTACATTTGCCAGAATGGATTTTAATTTTATAGGCTTATTTTGCTTGATGGTAGCTTTGAACCACTAGAGGACTATTTAAGCAGCACTGTTAATGAATAATAATATTGCTTTGTGTGCTTTAAAGTACTAAATCAAGTGTGCATTTAAGATTTCCAGTGAATTTTCTAGCTCCCTTTTCCTCCATCTGCCCCAAGGCCACCAAATAGGTAGGAAACATAGCTGTACTCCCACCCATAGCCAAGCTGATACGGATGACATTGTTTGTGAAATAACACTATGCTTTTTCCAAAGTTCTTTTGTGCATTTGTAAATTACGTTGTAGTTACTATGTCAGAATTAGTATACCTACTATATTCTCTATAAGAAGAGCATAAAATAAAAAGTGAATCAAAGGCAAGTATTGTCATAGAAGGCAGCAATAGAGAACTAGGTTTTACTCAGTTTAATATTAGGGCTATTTAGGTTTTACTTAGTTTAGTATTAGGGCTATTAGGAAAGCCCTCTTGTGACAAAGTGACTCTTGTCGCTGTTGACAGGAAAATACCTGGGAATAATCTCATAATCTGCAGATTTAGAATTCACACCTATTTTTTGATAGACTAAATTTGTCTCACTCTCAAGAACAACCAAACCTTGACATCTCCCTAAAGAGGCAATTTTTGACCTTACTAGTTTCAGGTTCTCATAAAAAGGTACCCAAATAAGTAAGATCAAAACCTAATCCTAAGTACCCTTCCACTGAGAAAATTTCTCCTGTACAACAAAAACTACCTTCTGGATATCCTGTCAAACTAGACATTCAGATGAGCTGAAGAACTTTTTTTAGAAAAATAACCAATCATACAAACAAACTCTGGCTTCTGTTTCTGAGATAAAAAGACTTGGAGTGATAGAAAAAGACACTTTCCCATAGCAGCAGTTTGAAACTTAAATGTTTACTTCTCTATAATAGCAGTAAAGATATAAACATATCCCACTCGTAACTTAATTTACCTCAGTAAGACAGGAACTTTCATGTCTATGAAGAATCATTTACACTCTCGAAATTTGGCACAGTAGGAAGAAAAAATGAAATCAGAACAAAGCTATATATTTTAAATCAAGCTCTACAACTAAAATAAAGTCTTTTGTATGATCAAGCATATGAACTATGAACCCAGCATGAAAGATTTCCTTTACTAGCAGCTACAAGTGTATTCCTTCTCCACATAAGAATCAAGTATATGCCAAGTATTGTGTACACAAGCAATTTAACAGGTAGAGCATATATAATATAGGCTGGGTTTGTGGAACGATAATCAACCATCATTTCCACTCCTGTCATGTTCTCTTGTCTCTTGTTGGGGGGCATTGCCTGTTCTTCTGCAGTGGTTGGAAATAATTAGCAAATATATAAACAATGGGCAGAGTAATATGCCCATTTTACCAATTTTATTAGTGTCAGTGGTGAGGGCTTCAGTAGAAAACAATTTGAATGTCACAGCATATAGTACAATAGAATTACTTCTGGTTGACTTCATTCAGTGTGCAGCACTTTGAGCAAAAATTCATTGCATCTTGTGCCAGCTGTCAAACTACATGTATCACACTGTGAAATACACTCCCCAAGGACTTGTAGTTTACAAGATTCACTTTTTATTTTCTGCCTCTGAAACTAAAAAATAGGAGCATTTTCACAATTCTATATAGTTGCTTGTACTATCAGCGACCAAAACTTACTTCTTCCCATTCTGATGTGAAGGAAGGTATTCTTTCAGAATTTCCTTTAGTGCACTGACGATTTGGTGTGGGTTCACTCCAGTTGCTTCTTGCTTTTTTGTCATTTGGTGGATGGGAGATAAGATTGGAATCAGATTTTGAAACATTTTTGCATAAATGCATTTCAAGCAAAGTCTTTGGTAAAGAACGTATTCTTCCGAGCGTGCATGCTCGCTCCACAAATCCTCCAGTAGTAATAACCCATTGTTCATTTATCCTTGTTGTTGTGCCAACCAGTGTATGATTTTCCACTGGTTTAGTTTTAGTATGAAATATGGTTCTGTTTACAACTTGTGGCTTTTTTTTCTTAACAGGAGGATCAGGGTTGCTTTCTTTCCTCAGCTGTATCTGCTGTACTGTGTTCCTGTTCAAAATGCTTTTCTCCCCTGGACCACGGCACTGGTTTGCTTTGCTGTACAGCTGGAGTGGATTATCAGGTGGGTCACAGGCAGGTGACGATCCATGAAGTAAACCTGCAAACTGCTCAGCGGGGTGTCCTTCAGGAAGCTCACTATCAGTGGATGCTTCTCTCTGGCAAAGACGCTCTGAAAAGAGAGAAAGTATCTTGCAAAAAAATCTGGAGTAATAAAATATTGTAAACAGCAAAACTCTTATTCTACACAAAATGATTTTCTATGATGCCTAGTTCTTTCTTATGTAAAGAAATGAAAGATACTTCTATCAGGAACTGAATTATTAGTCTCTTACAAAACATTTATTTCCTTAAACTTGACTAATCTATCCTGACTGGTTGAAGAACAGACCAAAACATTGAGTGCTACACATACGTTACAGGAAAAAGCAAATTTAAAAGGAAAATAGGTCATTTTATTCCATTAACTCGATAATGTCACTTTTAACTTGTTATTGAGTTGAAATGTGTACAAATTATACAGTTTTGAATGATGAACTAGTTACTTTTTAGGTAACAGAAAACATGAAGAACCTGTATAACAATATTATTCTTAATAATTTTTCATCTTACAGACAATTTTTTACCTTGAATATACAATGATGGTTCTTTTTTACTGACAATATCTAAAGAATAGATCTGAAAATTGTTTTCAGTTCTGGGAATTTATAAGAATAGTTTCAGAATAACAGTAACTATTGTAAAAAGAAGAATAAGAAATCAAATTTTTTTAACAACAGAAACAGGCTTTGCATGCAATTTGGCACGGAAAATGGAAACTACAGAAAAATATACTTTTTGACACAATTCAGAATGTATTATTAAGAATTTATAGCTTTTTTAATGCATGTTGCTGTAGGGTCTAGAAGAATAAGGTTTGATAACTCTTTCTACCTGTGCTGTCTCACTTAAAGCAGTGATGGGGATAACACCATTCTATCCACACGGCATCAATATACCTTATTCTACTCAAAATAACTGTGTCCTCACT